AGAGAGAGAGAGAGAGAGAGAGGTAGATAGAGAGAGAATTTCGAGGGAAATGAAATGAAAGGGCCAAGAAAGGGGGAACGAGTTCTTTAGGTTTCCCAGTTTCACTTTCAAAATCCACTCTAATATCTTTATTGACAATTTTGTTAGATAGTGGATTAGTATGCAACCTTTACTGTAAGGTTTGGACTTCGGTCCTATATAAACTTTTTCTTTTTTTTATTCTCTCACATTTTGAAATAAATAAAAAATATAATGGGAAAAAGATGTTTATAATTTTAATTTCAAATAAGCCCCCAGGTTCATATGAAGCCCATAGACCTCCTTGAGGTTTTTTTCATTGTTTAAACTAAAATATTTTATCATTTTATTTTTTTAATGAACCATTATTCTAGTGGAATTTGGGGGACCACATTTAAGCTACTTGTGAGGTATTTGTAGAAGAGAGAAAGAAGGGGGTTCAATGGATGTTGAGAGAGAGAGTGAGAGGAGGGGCTCCACATGTGATGAAGAGAAATATAGCTATGGCCTGATTTCTCGTCGTCTTGGGTCGGCCCGATATGAGTGACCCAATTGGAGGAATCCTCTCTCGAACAACCATGGGGCCCACACGCATGTATGTACGTGTGTGTGACATGTGGATATGAACCAACAAATAGAGATATTTTAACTGGCAAAGAAGGGCTCGAGCATCTACCTTATTGTTTTGGGTTCGGGGGACACGTTTGGGTCATTTGCCCTCTTAGATCATTTCAAAAACCCTTCAGCTATCCTTGCATCGCGGTTTGAATTTAGTTCCCTCACTTCATTGCACAATACTCGGATCCACACACTAAAAATAGCTTTCAAGGTATACCTTTTGGGATCTCCTCCTATTGGTAGTTATATAGCAGATTGGGGGTCTTGTCTAAGAGTTGGAGGGGTTGGGAGTGGATAGAGAAGAAGTAGAGAAGAGAAAGGAGGTCACTTAAAAATTGGGCAGCCTTACGACGTCACCTCTCTAAAGAGGTATTACCGAAGACAAGAAAGATATTGGGCTTGGAGGCCACAGGTATCTCGGGGGATTCAAGAGAGTGTTGTCTGTAGTTCTAGTCTATCAAGGGCTCACTTTCGCAAAGGAAGTGCGGTCTGTAGATCTAGACTCTCGCGAGCTCACTTTTGTATAGGCCCCCTGATGAGTAACTAAGAAGAAGACGAATAGAGAAATAAGAGAAGCTGTGAGAAAGGAGTGAGAATATAAAAAAGAGGAGGCATCTCAAAAGTTAGATATCTTTCTGGCATCCCCTCTCTAAGAAGGTAATATGAAACAATGGAAAGGTCCCTAAACTTCGAGACCAAAGTCAAGAGCACTCCGGAGGAATCTAGAGAGTGAGATCTGTAGTTCTAGACTGTCGAGAAATCACTTCCAAAGCTGGAAAGTGAGGTCTGCAGTTCTCGACTATCGCGAAATCACTTTCGGAGAGCCCCGCGAGAGCTGTCCGAGTTTAAAAAGTTAGATAGAGTATTAAAAGTAGATTTATAAGAGATGAGAGAGAAATGGAATGGGAGAAAAGAAAGTAGAGAGTTACGAGAGAAGGAATAAGAAGATAAGAAGAAAGTATATAAGAAAGAAGAGAGTGAGAGAGTAAATGAGAAAGAACGACATAGATCCCTCACAACCCAAACATTATGTAAACCATTGGTTAGAGTAGTCCAAGGGTCAAAACTCTTAGGAAACTGTCTCAGGAGGACCCCAGTATGAGTGATCGAGCGTAGGAGAATTTGTATCTCTTACGATCCGAAACACTATATGAACTGATGGTTAGAGAAGTAACCCAAGAGTTAAGACCCTAAGAAACTATTTCAAGAGGACCTCAGCTCGAGTGCTCAAGGGTGAGAGAAAGGATGAGTGAAGAAAGAGAATGAAGAAATAATGAAAATAGGGTAGGTGAATGAGAGGTGAGAGAGAGTGAATGAAGATAGATAAATGAGGGATGAGAGTTAGAGAGAGCTGAGTTAGGGAGTGGGAGAGGAGAATTAGAGAGATGATGAGAGAGGATGGATCTGCCTATGACATGGGTATGTGTGTCTGGGAGGGAAGAGTCGAGAAATGATGAGAGAGAGATGAAAGGAGTGGACGGATCCACTTATGACATGGATCTATGAGGGAGAGGGTGAGAGAGGGTTGGAGAGGGCAAGAGAGGGGGTAGATGGACCTGCCCTATGGCGCAAGTCCATAGCTTTAGAAGAGAGAGAGAGAGAGAGAGAGAGAGAGAGAAGGAAAGAA